TTGTCGGAGAGATGGCGAAAGGTGTGGGGGGGTTCAGCATCTCTACATTTGCAAAGAGAGTTAGCTGAGATATTTTGGGAGAGTTTGAATGAGAGAGGGAGAATTCGGAGAGTTATGTGAGAGAGTTGAGAGAATGACGTGTGAGAGAGAGGGAGAAGAAAATATTTATATAAAAAAAAATGATGTCTGAATGAGATAGAGAAAGAAAGGAAGAGAGTGAGAGGGAAAATAGAAATGATGAGTGGTGTGTGAGTGTGTGAGTGTTAGAAAGAATGAGAGAGAGAAAGATGGTGGGATAGGGAGAGTTGGCTACAATGAGGGAGAATGATAGTGGCAGATGGAGTTGGAAAAGTGGGGTGTTCAAAACCCAAATAAATCATTATTTTACTATCCATTTGCCACAATATATTATAAAAATATTAAGGGTAAGATTCACACGGGTGTACTGCACAAAATCCATCTCTCATCACAACAGGGTAGTGATGCACACTACACAAAGTCACAATTCAAGTTTTAAAATTGTCCCGGTAGTTTTACATAGTTTCAGACATGATTGGTATGTTATAACTCCAAATTGAGTTCCATTTGCGGCCACGTGTTCGTAAAAATGGGTATTATTCAAAAATAGTAAAATAAGACTGGAAAAGTGAAAGAAAAATTGAGGTCCACATGGAAGGCCTATGTGGCACCTCAGGGGTATTTTAATAATTTCACTACTACTGAGTATAAAATACAATAAATCTCAGGATGGGAATCCACAATTTACCCCCTTTAAGAAAATTTCATCCTCGAAATTCAAAACAACAGAATTCCATATCACTTGCATCCACGCGATCATAATGATAAGCACTACGAGAGTAGATGTGTGTGCATGTGTCTTTGGGTCAAGCCCAAACAATAATTATTTAGGCACGATGCCTAATTAATAAAATACTACCAGAAACGAGCATACTTGCCCACTTGCATAACGAACCCAACGAATAGGTCATAAGTATCACAGTATGCAACCTGCAGTACGGACAACCGACTGTTGTCTCAATAAACAAGTAATGGAACTACGAGAGTGCAAAATTATTATTTTACCCCTCATTGGAAAAAATGCATAAATTGTACGATTTACGCCTCATTCGTGCACGCGTGTTCGTAAGAACACGTTCTACCTAGAAAGCCGTGAAAGGGAACAATGAGTAATAAGGACTTCGATGTCCACGCCTGAAATCCACGTATGATTTCTACTTAGTTGGTTAGGGGCATTTTGAAATTTTCCAGCGTTAGGGAATAAAATCAAAATAAATATGTGACTGGATTCTGCCAATCGGTCTAGAGGGTGTCCTCGTGGACTGACAGAAGATGGGCACCTTAGTAAGTCAATCAACAATCACCGAGACATCATCATTGTTTCCACGTGTACGGGGTCGCTTGTACATGAAGTCCATAGTGATACTCTCTCATATCTGTTTGGATATAATGAGTGACTAACAATTAGATTGATTTCTTTCTTCTTGCTATAACTAGCCGACAAATTAGGTATTTGCTTAATAACTAAGCAATCTCCTTTTTCATCCCAAGTCAAAAGTGGAATGGCCGAACTTGGAAATTAGTTAACAAGGTTTCTTGATGATCTGTAAGTAACGTCATATTAATACTCATAAGTCGTAACTTAAATAGGATATGACGGTTGAGTCATCCACGTGCTTTTCTATTAAGATCATCAGCAACTACATTTGCACAATCGAGGTAGTACACGATGATGCAATCGTAGACGTTGATTGATTTCTTCCATCGTCGTCGTCTACAATCAAGCTTCTTCCAAATGAAATGTATTTGAGGGGTTTAAGGGAGTCAATGAAGATTTTGGCATGTTTCTCCATACAGAAACCATCAAGTTTTCTACTGTAAAGGCAGTAATTGTCAACTCAAAGTCGTAGGAAAACAGTTCACTTCATGTGGTTGTAGTTGTTGGAAGGCATAAGTAATTACCTTACCATGCTGCATCAGCACACAGCTAGATCATTCAGTGAAGTATTGATAGGGATTTTTACTACTCATGTGAATGCGATAAAAACCTCCTATTTTACTTGCAAGAATCACAAGGTTATTGTAGTATAAACGGATCTCGCAAGGTCATTCTCCACAGGGATTATTAAATAATTCGAAACAAATCAGATTTCAATTAATGATTGTAAAGTTGAAATTTGGATGATTGATTTTATAACCTACTTAAATTAAAAACGAATTTAACTATTAATGATAAGATAATCTACAATATTAAAGCTAGAGAGAAAAGAAAACAGTTTTTGAGAGAAATCAAATTAAGAAAGCACTAGGGTTCCACCATCACCTAGCAATCCTATGAATTTTTACCAATTACTTATGATCTACACATGCCACTTTGAAGGTTAGATTTTCCTAATTCATATTCTACTTGGAACCTCCAACATAGAACGTATATCTAACATGCAACCCGTCCGGACATTCGGATCAAATCTAAACATGAAAGACTCATTATGCTTTATGAAAATCCTTTGAAAAACCATGCAATCCTTAAGACGTGATATTCATCCTAAGAGAAATTACAATTATTAATCACAAGAAGCCAGCGTCAATTTCAGGGAACCTTCCGACCAAAATTGCATCAAATTACTTTTCTAAAGATCCTAATGGTGATCAGGCATTAAGACAATTAGATAGTTTTTATCCCGGTGATTAACAATTCAAAATATGCATGCAATCAATCATAAGCAATTAAATAAAAATCACATATTCATGCTAAGGCTCAAGGCTTCGCCCTAGCAATAGAAATTAGTTCCGCATATTCATAATTGAAATCATAGAAAATATTCTTAAGAAAAGGATTGAAAACACCTTCAAGTAGAAAATCTTCAAAACCCTAACACTTCTCTCTGTCTCCAATATTGCATAAAATAAAGCGTAATCAAAAACTGTAGACGGCTAAGCAATATATTTGCTAAGCCACCACCCAAACCCTAGCCAACTAAAATTAATAAAAACCCTAAATAAAAATAGTAAAATTCGTCTAAAATCTGAACAGCCACGTTTTGGCCCATAAGCTGCTCCAAAACTTACCCAATATAGCTGGATTTGATGTTTTGGAATATATTCTGAACACTTTTCCAGAAGGCCACGAACCCATCCGAGGTCATCTTGGGCTCCAAAAAACGTCATTTAAGCCCAAAACGTCATTTAAGCCCAAAAACGTCATTTTCCAGCACTGCGCACTGCTTCTTTATTTCATCGCCAGAAAATAACCGCTTGGTGGAAAAATCCCAAATTTTGATACGATCAAGCTAAGTGACTCACGAACGTCCTCCAACTGGAATTACTCCAAAATTCGTCCATTTGGTCCTGTTTTGCTCCAGAGGAAGTCGAAAGTCCTATATTGAAAATACAATTCAAAGTATCAAAATTCTTCCAATATATTAACCAAAATATACTAAGATTAGGGTAAAATATATAATATAAAATCTACTCATCAAATACCCCCAAACTTAGCTTTTTGCTTGTCCTCAAGGAAAACAAGACTCAAACAAAAAATAAAAACTTAACAAACTAGACAACTAGCTAAAATTAACTGACAAAAAATTTTCATCTTCAAAGTTGCAATCCATAGCAAATTTTAAAAAACTAGAACATTTTTTCAAAAGTTCCAACCAATCACACCACAGAGTCTAAGCCATTTAGAATCAATTAGAAAAGAATTCACAAACTTCCTTTGGTGTAAAGTGAACCAACATAATTAAGGGGACTCGACTAAAACCCTTACCTCTCGTCCTTATTTATTTCACACATACTAACTTTAAATATAACTCTCTTTCTTTTTCTTTTTTTTTTCTTTTTCAAAATTTTTTTTTTCTCTTTTTTTTTTTTTCATGTTATGTATATAACATTTTTTTTCTTCAGTAACAGTAGTGGTCGTGCAATGTCGGTTCACTAAAGCTTTCAATCCAACCCATGTAGCGAGCTTTAGGTCAATGACTCCCAAACCACTAGGGCTTTAGGGCACTAGGTGTAGAACACCCCTAAGGACTTATTAACCCGAGCTGAAAAGGCTACGAAACCAACTAACCACCCTGCCCCATGCCAAAGCTCTACCGTTTGACGCGAGAATCGAGAATCACTACTGATTAGGCAGGACTGGCCCGGTTACTAGGCAAAACCTCGGGTGAGACAATTATTACTTTTTTTTCACAATAATAACTAACTTTACTTAAAACAAAAATTAAAAATTAAAAATAAACTTAGACTAAAAGCAAGTGTTTCAATCTCACTCCCCACAAACCATGTTGGTGTGATGTGCAAAGTTCAAAGTATAATTCATGAATTAGTGTCTAAGCAACGATAAATAGAAAAGACTCTAATGTGGGATTAATCTTTACCATGTCCATTTGTTCTAACGTTTAAAATAATCTATGGATATTAACTTAACAAGAATGAAAATTTTTAAACGACCCAAAAATTAAAGACTTAAAATGTTATTTTCCCACCCCCAAACTTATTTCACACTTTGTCCTCAAGGTGTGGTAAATAAACAAAAGAAATAAGAACAAAAACAAAAGTCCTAAATCCTAGAAAATGTTGAACGCAAAATCAAAGATAAAGAAAAATAAATAAATCCTAAGAAAAGAAAATAGGAAGAAGAAATAAAAAAAACAATAAAATAACATAAAGTAAAACAGAAAACAGAAAAAAAAAAAAAAAAAAAAGGACAAGTATGAAAAATTGACATACCAAAAAGTTGATGGATTTCCCGTTGGATTGAGCCCACGTGGAAAAAAAATTGATCCATCCATTTGACTGAGTACCAGACCACAAACCAAGTCCCTATTCACCATCACATGCTCACCAAACCCCGTGCCCCAACAATTTAAAACTTTGGATTCCTGTCTGTCAGAAAGGCATGCAATTGGCATGCCTTGGGAAAAGTGGCTGCAACTAGCATGCGGTGTTAAAGTGGCGTGCAGATTATTTTTTGTTTTTCTGTCTCTGTCAGTCATTAACCCCAGAGCCCAAACGGCTCTCTCCCTTCTTTAACCGAGTCAATTTAGTAGACATGTGAATACTCCAGCTTGGAACACGTGGCAAGCATCACGACATGGAGCTCCATAGAGTTCCAAATTAAGGGTGAAGATCAATCCAACATGCCCATCGTCCTCTCTCTAGAAAATCTGAAAAGGTTTTCTCTCCATTTCACAGCAAGCCCTTCTATTATGTTTTTTTTTCAGTTCTCTCAGACCCCATTTCTCTGCTCCCTCTTCTTCATAGCGTCTCAGAAACGCAAAATCCTTCTGTCTTTTAGAAAGTCAGCCACCTCCTCTCTCGGATCTCTGCCCTCGCAGCTGTACCACGTACCTCCCAGTGTTTCAATAGCCCATCCATGGTAGAAATCGGAAAATCAGAAAGCCAAAGGTAAAAGCATCCTCCAATATTTTGTTGTCATGTCTCAGATTCATTTGTTTTAGAGAAATAGAACTAAATCTAACACATGCATGTCGGTTTAGCTATGTGAGGACCCCCAATAATTTCGAATCCGAGACAACATCACCCTGAATCGCCATCTCAACTCCACAAAATCATGTCTCCCAAGCCTCAAGCCATCAGAAATTGGAGTACCATTTTGCACATGCCACGGTAATCACTCTTACCTAGTTCAAGATCCATGGCTCTTAGCTTGCGAAAAAAAAATCTTGGCAAGTTATATTTGCGTGATGAGTCTCTGAAAAGGCTAACACGGATTTTTTTTTTCTCCATAGTAGGTGTCCGAGATGAACAAAGAGACAGAAGAGACAAAGTCAAAAAGCTTCCAAACTCACGGATCTGCAAATTGTGAGGTAGAAACCATAACCCTTTTTATTGATGGACTATGATCTGATACTTGAAAAATAACTCCTATTGTGACTGAAAATAACTCCTATTGTGACTGAAAATAACTCCTATCCAGCATACACCCGTGAGAAAACAAGCTGAAGCAGCCGGTCTAATAGTCCCAGAAAGCAAAATCAACAGCAACTGTCGCGGCCTTTGTATGTCATCAAGGTAAAGATCTCGATCGTCTGCTTTTGCTAAACTCAACATTTACAAGTTCAACAACAGTTCATTAGAATGCCATATGTAACCTGTATGTACTCATATTGTTGGTCTTTATGTAGGGTATACGGATCCATGATAGAGCCAAGGAGACAGAAGTAAACACACAAGAGCAACGGAGGAAAACAGCACAGGCCGCATGACCCAGATCGATGCATCTGGGAGGTAAAATTCGAATCCCTGCAAGTGTAATTGTTGTAGATCTGGTAATAATATCTGTACTCAGTTCTGTGGTGTATGGATCTGTGATTTAATTGTGCTTCCTCCATGCATCGCAAAACTGAGCTGCAGAAAATTAACTGCTCTAAACTCTGTTTATGCGCTGGATCTACAACAATCACCCCCAAACTTGCATCTGTGAATGGCTATTTATGTTGACTGCTTTAAATTTCCAGCATAGTGTAGATGTGGTTGATGTGAACGATAGACTTGCTGCTGGGTGCAGGATTCCAGCTTAGGACGCGTTTTATTTTCCACGTTCGCAACCTGCAATTAACCAATATGCGTTAAAAATTGAAAATAAAAGTAAAAATAAAATGGGTAAATAAAATCAACTCGCAATCTTCAATTTTTTTGAATTTTTTTTTTCCGTTTTTTTTTATTTATATTTTTATTGTTTTATGTATGCTTTTTTTTTTTTTTTTTTTTTTGTTTTTTTTTTTTTTTTTTTTTTGTTTTTTTTTTGTTTTTAAATATATATATATATTAATGAGAGAATCAAACGAAAATTAAAATTAGGAAAGAGTTAGAAAAATTGGGGTTGCCTCCCAAATAAGCGCTTTATTTTAAGTCTGTAGCTAGACGTTGCGGAAGTCCGGTGGCTAGATCACTGGTGCCTTCAGAGTCAAAGACTCGTATGCAGTATCGAAGGGTGACTCCACGTATGGTTTCAGCCTGTGACCATTCACCTTGAATGTGTTGCCTTGAGCCTCATTAGATATTTCAACTGCCCCATGAGGAAAGATTTTAGTAACCAAATACGGCCCAGTCCAGCGAGATTTCAATTTCCCTGGAAACAACTTTAGCCTTGAACTGAATAGCAACACCTTTTGCCCTGGCTGAAATTCTTTCCGTAAAATTTGACTATCGTGAAACGCCTTAGTTCTTTCCTTGTAGATGCGAGAACTTTCATAAGCACCCAGACGAATTTCCTCCAGCTCATTGAGCTGCAATTTACGTTGCTCTCCAGCTGAGTCATATGAAAAGTTTAACTCTTTAATTGCCCAGTACGCCTTATGCTCAAGTTCCATAGGTAGATGACATGCTTTCCCATAAACAAGTCGAAATGGTGACATCCCAATAGGAGTTTTATAAGCTGTCCTGTAGGCCCACAATGCATCATTTAATTTTAAACTCCAATCTTTTCGTGTTGAACCAACTGTTTTCTCCAAAATGCGTTTTAATTCTCTGTTTGAAACTTCCACTTGACCAGATGTCTGTGGATGATAAGGTGTAGCCACACGATGATTAATCCCATATTTTGCCAATAAATTAGCAAATGATTTATTATTAAAGTGCTTCCCCCCATCACTAAGAATAACGCGTGGAATTCCAAAACGCGGAAATATAACCCCTTGGAGGAATCTCAGGACCACTGATCCCTGATTAGTTGGTGCTGCTATGGCCTCGACCCACTTAGAAACATACTCCACAGCGACTAAAATATATTGATTCCCATGGGAAGATGGAAATGGTCCCATGAAATCAATACCCCACACATCAAATAATTCAACAATCAAAATACTTTTGCTGGGGCATCTCATTCCTTTTGGACTGGTTGCCGACCCTTTGACACCTATCACAAGCCTTGCACCAATTATATGCATCTTTAAAAAGTGTAGGCCAAAATAACCCACTTTGCAAAATTTTTTCTGCCGTTCTTTTCTGCCCAAAATGTCCTCCACAAGCAAAATGATGAGCAAACCTTAATACACTTTCTTGTTCGGCTTCAGGAATACATCTGCGAATAATCTGGTCTGGGCAATACTTAAATAGGTATGGCTCATCCCAGAAATAATGCTTCACATCAGATAAAAACTTCTTTTTCTGCTGAATAGTTAAATCTGGATGCACTACCCCTTTAACCAAATAATTAACCATATCAGCAAACCATGGTGTACAGAATTGGACTGCAAATAGCTGTTCATCTGGAAAACTATCCCTCAGTGGTAGGGAATCCTCTTCTGAAGCTGTTGGAATAATCAATCTGGACAAGTGTCAGCCACCACATTTTCACTGCCCTTTTTATCTTTGATTTCTAAGTCAAACTCTTGCAATAAAAGAATCCAACGAATCAATCGAGGCTTAGCATCTTTTTTAGTCAACAAATATTTCAAAGCTGCATGATCTGTATAAACCAATCACTCTAGCCCCAACTAAATACGAACGAAATTTTTCCAAAGCAAAAACAATTGCCAACAATTCCTTCTCTGTTGTCGCATAATTTAGTTGTGCATCATTGAGGGTTCGACTAGCATAATAAATAACTTGGGGAAGTCTATCTTTTCGCTGTCCAAGAACTGCCCCCACTGCACAGTCTGATGCGTCACACATCAGTTCAAAAGGTAGGCTCCAATCAGGAGCTGTGCAATAATGGGTGCTGTAGTGAGGAGAGTCTTTAACTTCTTGAAGGCCTCCAAACAAGCCTCATCAAAACATACAAGGGTCGGCTAATCTTGGAGAAATCCTTGATGAACCGAAACCGTCTATAAAACCCAGCATGGCCAAGAAAAACGAACACTCTTAACAGTTGTCGGGGGTGGCATCTTTTCAATTGCATCAATTTTAGCCCTATCAACTTCAATACCCCTGTTAGAAATCAAGTGGCCCAAGACAATACCCTGCCTAACCATGAAGTGACACTTTTCCCAGTTTAAAACCAGGTTGGGTCTTAATGCATCTTTCCAGAACTAGAGATAAATTCTGCAAACATTGGTCAAAAGAATCCCCAAAAACAGAAAAGTCATCCATAAATACCTCAACTACATGCTCAACTAACCCGGTAAAATATGCTCATCATGCAACGTTGAAATGTGGCAGGTGCATTGCACAAACCAAAAGGCATTCTTCTATATGCGAAAGTCCCAAAAGGACAAGTAAAGGTTGTCTTTTCTTGATCCTCAGGGGCAACTGGAATCTGGTTGTACCCTGAATAGCCATCCAAGAAACAGTAGAAAGCACGGACCAGCCAACCTTTCCAACATTTGATCAATAAATGGTAATGGAAAAATGATCTTTTCTAGTACCAGCGTTGATTTTTCTATAATCAACACACATACGCCACCCAGTAGTCAAGCGTGAGTAGGCACAAGTTCATTATTATCATTTTTCACAGCTGTAATACCAGAACGCTTTGGCACCACTTGAGTTGGACTAATCCACTTACTATCTGAAATGGGATAGATCATCCCAGCATCCAAAAGCTTCATAATCTTCATTACGAACAACTTCTTTCATAATTGGATTCAACC